CCTTGCGCTTGCCAGGCAGGCGCTTTTGCCGCTGAGCTAAATCCCCAGCCCCCAATTTCTAGAATTCTTATTGATGTCTACTTTTATTGCATTACAGTCAGAGAACATACATACTATGATTTCAATTTTTTTAAGTTTATTGAGATCTATATTGTGACCTAACATAGAGTCTATCCTTGAAAATATACCCTGTAGTGAAGAGAAGAATGTGTATTCTACATCTTTTGGACATGTTCTGTAAGGCCCACTTGCTTATTGTACACTTTGACTTTGATATTTGTCTGTTTTTTGTCTACACGATCTGTCCATTGATGAAAGGTGTTGAAAGCTTCAATTTTTACTGTATTAGACATAATTTCTACCTTTACATCAAATAGTAGTTGTTTTATATAATTGGGTGCTCCAGTATCGGGTGCATGTATGTTTACAATTCCTATTTCTTCATGTTGAATTGATCTCTTTATCATTATACAGTGACTTTTTTGCCCACTTTTAGTTTTTCATTTAAAGTCTAGTTCAGGGACTGGGGATTTAGCTCAGCAGCAAAGCGCCTGCCTGGCAAGCGCAAGGTCGTGAGTTCGGTTCCTGGTACCGGAGAAAAAACAAGAAAAAAAAGAAAAAAGAAAAAAGCAAGTCTAGTTCAGTGATGGGGAAAGTTTAAGAGCTTTCAGTGATAACCGACAGTGTGCTGCAGCACGTGTGCCATAGGTTCAATACTACTTGATCTCACTTAAGTAAAACTGGATCCTTCGTGCTTTGGGCTTCCCTTGGCACAGTAAATATTTTTCCTTCCTTTTTTTTTCTTTTGAGACAGGGTCTCACTAGGTAACGCACGCTGGCTTGAAACTCACTATGTAGTCCAAGCTGGCCTTGAACTTTCAGTGATCCTCCTGATCTTCCTGCCTTGGCCTTCTGAGTGCAGGGATTACAGGCGTGCGCCACCACACCAGGCATGGGGAATATATTGTTGGACCTAATGTTTATCCCTTCAGCCAATCTATATCTTTCAATTAAAGAATTTAATCTGTTTACCTTAAAAGTTATTATTTATAAACAAACACATATATTCTTGTTATCTTTTTTTTACTTGTTTTATATATCCTTTTTCATTTCTTCCTCTTTTGTTCATCTTCATGCTTTGGTGGTTTTCTGCATTGATGAGGTTAGATTCTCTTTTGTGTATTTGGGGGGCAGCTGAATTTCGTAAGTTTGCATTACCTTTAATTATCATGAAATACTTATCATTCTTTCTGGCCCAGCCCCTCTGGGTGGGATGTCCAGATGCTTTCCAGACTGCAGAGGGTGGGCGGGGCCTCCTGCCTAGTTCACGGGACTGGGTTGAAGTAGCTGCTACAGGAGGCTGCCTGATTGCTTCACAGGACCCCCAGGGCAGGGACCCAAGATGACGTCGTACATACGAGCCTGGGTGGAGGAAGACACACTGCCTGCTGGGCTCTTTCTTTAGGGCTATCCTGTAGTATGTTAAAGCAGAAGCTCTCCGGACTTGGGTCAGGGCCTCAAAGGGCCTCAGGGTTCTTCCGGAGTAAATGCCTCTGTTGTCTATGGTATGAGAAGCAACTGTGGGAGGCCTCCTGTTTACTGTCTTCCCACCAAGTGAAGCTTCTCTTGATAAAGAGTTATCTCCCTTCTCTCTTTCCGTCTTTCCGGTTTTTCATGACATCACTAGCACTCCACCCCAGCTGGAAACTCCTCCCAACCCCAGGCAAGTGCTCCCCTTCCGCTTGCTTTTAGTCCCTTGCCTAGAGTCCACTTCCTCCGTCCTGTCCTACCTGTGCCCCACCCAAACGTAGCATCTCTAGGACATCTCAGGTTGCTCTCTGCCTGCAGTATAAACATTGTCATACGTAAAACACATTTTCCTTTTTTGTCCTTTTCACTGTGCGTGGAGAGAAGTGGGGGGGAGAAAAGAAGTGGAAAGCTAGGCACAGAGAAGAAAAAAATGTCATCAAAGCTCATCTGGGATCACAAAATATCTCAATTCAAAATAAGATGTTTAAGAGTGCTCCAGTGGCACACACCTGCATATCCCAGCACTTTGGGAGGCGGAGGCAGGAGAATTACAAGTTCAAACCCAGCTTACACAAGTTAGTGACTTAGCAAGACCCTGACTCAAACTGAAAACTAGAAAAGGGTTGGGAATGTAACACAGTGACAAGGCCCTGGGTTCAACGCCCAGTACCACAAAAACTACTTACATTTCCCACTCGGAAGCTTCTTATCCTTCATTTCATGAAGTACTTACCTCAACCACTGAATGTTGGTATGAGACATAGGCTCCAAAATATAATTCCATCTGGAGGACAACTTGACATTTTTGTTTTCCTAAAATAAGATATAAAATCATATGACCACACTTTAACTGATTTTGGTGGTTACTACCCTGAAACACACAGAAAAACTACTATGCATATACCTTCTCCATTTCTTCACTTCTAACTTTGTGGAATCATGAGATCTGCCTTAAACATTTTGTACATCCTATCCTGTTTCAAAAAGGGACTAGGGCAAAAATAGTTTTACCTTACTGCTATCCATCAAAGATAGCATCTTTTGCTATTATTCTGTATCCCCAAATCCACCTTATACTTCACTACATTTTTTTGAAATAAGGTCTTGCTATGCAGGTCAGGCTGGCCTTGAACTCACTATATAGCCCAGGTTGGCCTCAAACTCACAGCGCTTCTCCTGCCTCACCTTCCTGAGTGCTGGGATTACAAGTGCATGCCACCATGTCCAACACTTCATTATTTTTTGTGCTTTCTTTTTTTTTTTTTTTTTTTTTTTTTTTTTTTTTTTTTTGAGACAAGGTCTCACTGTGTAGTTCAGACTGGCCATGAGCTCACTTTGTAGCCCAGGCTGGTCTCGAACTCACAAAGATCCTCCTGCCTCAGCCTCCCGAGTGCTGGGATTACAGGCGTGCACCACCACCCCCAGCTTTTTGTGCTTTCTGTCACGACACATTGCCATCTTTGTTATAACTTCAGATCAAACCTGCAAAGAAACACAAAAATATGCATAATGAGGTTCACTGCAGCATTGCAAATTTAAAGATCTAGAAATAACCAGAAGTACTCATCAATGGCCAGGTGTGGTGGCACATGCCTGTAATTCCAGCACTCAGAAGGCTGAGGCAGGAGGATCACCATGAGTTTAAGGCTAGCCTGAAATGCATACAGAGACCCTGTCTCAAAACAACAACAACAAAAAAAAAATACTCATCAGAATGAGAATAAACTTTGGAGACTTATAACCACTGAAAAAGAATGAAGTGCATCTATAGGTAATAATGTGTCTACAAAATAGCATTAAGTGAAAAGAAAGATGAAAAGCACATACATCAAATTCCATTTTCCCTAAGAAAATGACCACAGCTAATAATAGCAGTGATGGAACAGGCTGACATCATATTCCCTATGATGTGAGGTATCACTTCTGTGATATTCCTGCCAAGACTGCATGACCTGAATGTGATAAAAAAAAAAATGAGACCACCCCAAGCAGATGACAGCCATCCTAAAGAATGTGAACTCTATATCTTCTAAAAATTGAAAGGATATGAAAGACTAAAGAATTAGTCCCAACTAAAGAATTAGCCCTAAATGCAACACATGATCCTGGATAGGATTATGAAGTAAGAGTGACATTACTGGCCAGCTTGTAAAATCTGAATGGATGGATCCAGTTAGGATAGTAATATGCCAGTGTCATTTCCTGATTTAAAGGCTTGTATGCTTGTTATGCAGGAGAGTGATCTTGTTTGGGAGAAATACACTCTGGAGTGGTTTGGGGTAACAGGATAACATCTAGTTATCAAAAGATTTAGAGAAAGACTAATAGTAATGGACACAGAACAGGCCACACCCCCAGTGACCCACCTCCTCCAACCAAATTTCACTTCCCCAATCACATTTAGCCATAAGTGCATCAGTGTTGAGTACCCACCCCCATGAGCCAGTCACCTCCCCAAAGCCTACCTATGAGTGCATGGGGTTTGGTGAGGGGACATCTACATATAAACCATAACAGGGGGCTTCAGGTTAAACAGCCCATAGCTCTTCACACTGTTCTGGCCATTCTTGAAGTCTGAAACTGTTTCAAAACTGAACTATTTTTGAAAGCCTATAAGAAAATCAGCATTTATAAAACTGATAAGGCAGCAGATGAATATTTATCTCATATAGGATTGACCCTAACCATCTACTAAGCTACTGCTGCAGTAATGAAATGTGACTTAGTTTGTCAAAATTTGAATTACACGCACCTCTTCTTCATCAGTTTATCCATTCTCTTAACTGAATTAGCCCATTTCAAATCTTTTGAAAGGAGAGATACTATGAAGTCAATGTGTACCAAGAAGTTTGGGTTTTCAATACAAAGAGGGGCCGGGTGTGGTGGCACACACCCATTATCCTAGCACTCTGGGAGGCTGGCGCAGGAAAATCATAAGTTTGAGCTCAACCTCAGCAATTTAGTGAGACTCTGTCTCCAAATAAAATATAATTTCCAAAAGGGCTGGGATGTAGCTCAGTGCAAAGGCCCTGGAATCAGTCCTTAGAATAAATAAATAAATAATTGAATGGATGAATGACACAGAGCCTAGACAATTGCAGTTGTTGAACTGTCATTTTTGCACCAAACATTGCCATCTGCTGGAAATAACAGGTCATCACACATATTACTCGTCACTACGAAAATAAATTATTTCAAAATCCTAAGGTACATTTGAGAACAAAATGACAAATCCCAAAAGATAACTCAGTGGTAAGACCTACTTTAAAATCCATTTAAAGTCAGTGAATTATTACTGATCTTTACAACTCGGAGTTTCAAAATCTTTTATAAGAGCATTTCTAATGCAATCTTATGAAGTAAACATGCCTTTAATGTCGGCAATAATGCAGGCATAACAGCAAAGTTAGGAACAAAGACTTCTCAGTCCATGCTACAGTACCCCATGAGGGTCTCATTCAATGAAAATCCATGCATGGACTCAAAAGAATCAAGCTGGTTGGCAACTTGAGCTTCTTCTAGTCCAGTTGGTCTCAGCAGGGAGAGCAGCGCCCCCTAGAGGGCATAATGAAAATACGCGGCCATGCTGCTGATACTTAGTGACATGGTAGAAGGCCATCCGTCCTGCAGTGCACACAGACCCACACAATGGAGAATTGAGAATTGTGTCGTGCTCCTCGCCGCTTTCACATGCTCGACCCAGTATTGTGACTACCTGCCCCTGGATTCTAACTCCTTTGTAAACATAAAATATTTTACATAGCTTTATATGTATTGGGGTTTTTTTTCACTAGAAAGGCAAATGTCATGTAAATTAAGTGAAAATAGAGTCGCATTTATCTTGCAACTTTAGCAAAATTGGTTGGCATTTCAGGAAACTATAGCATCATTTGGAAAGATGTGGTATTTGAGCCACCAGTGTACAATATCCCTATTTGCCTGCTCGCATTTGTAATGATCATACGCACAGATATAAGCATCTAACAATGTCTGGAACATGTACATAAGTGCACTATTATTTTATTAAATGTTACTTTTATTTCTCCTTTATATTGTAGTAAGGGTGCAACATTGCCATTTGCTGCATGTGTATAAACAGGCTTCATTATCTATGAACTCTTAGTATCATTCCAGAGCAGTGATGTAAAAGGAGAGTTATAAAATGAACATCAAGCTGATACAATTGAGAACTAGTGATTCATTTTATTACAGGGAAACTGAGGTCCAGAGGGAAAATGAACCTGCTGAAGATCATAATAGGAGGCAAGCTGGAGGCAAGTCAATCCCAAATTTTCTAATTCTCAATTCAGGTAAAAACCCACACTGTCTGGAAATAAGAAATGCATTTCCCAATGAAGACAAAGTTGTGGGGCTGGAGGTAGAGGCCAGTGGCAGAGCATGTGCCTGGCACACGCGTGCACACACACAAGCATCCACAGTGCTATAAATGTGGCTATGATCTCAGTCTAGACAAATAAAATATATAAATTAAATTTACTTAATAGTTATTACTTATATAAATTAAATTTATAGCTGAAGTTAATATCATTAGAATGCAACAAAAAGCCTTTGGTGGCATAAAAGCAGCAAGTCTTACAAACAAAACTATGGTGAAGGAAAACATCTTAGACTGGCATTCGATAATTCACAATTGGCCCTCGATTTTTATAATTCATAATAAGTACTCAATAAATTCATAGCAGGCACTTGATGCATAATAGCCATTTGATAAATATTTGTTACAAAAATAAGTAAAAATCTTCACTCAGCCGGGTGTGGTGGCGCATGCCTGTCACCCCAGCACTCGGGAGGCTGAGGCAAGAGGATTGTTGTGAGTTCGAGGCCAGCCTGGGCTACAAAATGAGCTCAAGCGCAGCCTGAACTGCATAGTGACACCCTGTCTCAAAAAGACAAACAAACAGAAAGAACAAAAATATTCACTCAGGGGCTGGGGATTTAGCCCAGGGGCACAGCGCCTGCCTGGCAAGTGCAAGGTCTTGAGTTTGATTCCCATTACAGGAAAAACAACAACAACAACAACAAAATCTTCACTTAAGTGCAAAACTATGTAACTCATCCCTCCTTAACAGATTCATTGTAAGCTCCAAATTTTACACCAACTGGAGAACACATATCACACTCTGAAGACATTAATATGCATTCATGAGATGCCTAACTAAAGGCAAAATAAAACTTTTCAAGTGAAAAAATATTATCCTGCCTCTGAACCTCTCCGTGGCCAGTAACTGCTTGATCAGGAGCTCAGACCCACAAGCTCAGCCGACAATCAACAACCACAAGCTGTGCGTCTGAACAGCAGCTTGCAGGCAGCTGCATGAAGGACCTGGGGGAGACATGAGCGGCACGTGAGGTGGGGGCTGTACCTCAGGTGCCTGAAGACCTGCAGCTGCTGTGCCGCACTGACGTCTACAAGTGGCTCAGTGTGCACAGAGTGTGGCTGCAGGACTGAGCTGGTCCCTCCTCCCACCCCACTTCATGCCTGCTCTGAGTAGCAGAGGAACCGAGGGCTTCCCCAGGCTAAAGGGGGATGCGACTGTGCAGTTCACTCAGTCAAGGGCTAGACCCAATCCAGGTCACACGGTCTGCTGAACATTTCTGAACTGGGAGTGAAAAGAGGAAAAAACTGGGAGAGCAAAGAGGAAAAAACATGCTGATCTTTCATTTCTGAACTGGGAGAGCAAAGAGGAAAAAACATGCTGATCTGCACAGTTATCGCTGGGTTTTTAAAAATGTATTTTTCAAGTAGGCGTGGTGGCGCATGCCTGCAACTCCAGCATGTGAAGAGGCTGAAG